ATACTCTCTGCACGGCAGAGCAATATTGAGCTTTACCTTCGTTCCAATATCTCTTATGCCGTCTAAAAAAAAAAAAAAAAAAAAAAAAAGTCGCGATCGACGCTACGGAGCTTGCTGATACCAGAGAAGGCGTGACGTTCTCGAGGAGTGCCCCCGTCTTTTTTTAACTCACGGATATAGAGAGCAGAGGCGATATCGTCCGATATCGTACCGTGTCGCCTACCTTCTTCTCCCATTGGAGAACGTAGGGCACTGGGTGCTCACCGGGGAACTCTACGTGACAGTTGAAGACTACGCTCTCCCCGAGGATCGCCGTGATGTGTACCGCGTCCTGCTGACAGAGTCCTGAAAACAGAATTTACACACATCGATGTTAATTTCGGTGTACATCGCGTCTTGTAATTTAACGGTTTATGTGAAATGAGTAAAAAAGACCAAAATAGTCAAGTATGTTGTTAAATCCAAAGTAAAGAAGTTAAGTTATTTTTAAAAAATGTACGTCAACACATAAATCTCAGCTGTACATTGTCACATGGACATTGAACGCAAAAAAATTGAGTTATCCTACCAGAAAAAGCGTGTGTAAATAATCACAAACAATTCTCTCGATATTGATTGTTGCCATTTTTATCTCGACGATGATTGGACGTGCTTCTAGGATGTGTTTCTCGATTCATATCTCGATACATACCAAGACGCACGATAGTGCCTCGCGCCGTTCGAGCGCGACTTCGTTGTGAAGTGACTACCCCAAGGTCGCTGCCCCCGGTCACTGACCCGGTCACGTGACTACCCCAGGTCATTGACCCGGGCACGCGACTACCTCAGGTCACTGACCCCGGTCACGAGACTACCCCAGGTCACTGACCCCGGTAACGTGACTACTCCAGGTCACTGACCCCGGTCACGTGACTACGGTATATATATATATTATATAATATTCTCTTTTTTACTCTTTTCTCTGTTACGTGACCTTTAGGCACGTTCTTAAAGACATGTGACTTTAGTCACGTGTTGTTTTTCCACTCTTTCTCTTTCTAGTTTTTGAGTTTGATTTTCATGCGTTATTTCTGACATTTCTCATATGTACATCATGTGTGTATTATATAATTTGTAAGACGTATATATTTTATACTATAGCTATCATCGCGGTGACAGGTTGTGTTTACTGGCAAAACACGTTAAAATATAAACAATAACAGCGCGCCACAACGCGCGCCTGTGTTGTGCTAGTAAAATTAAATATTAAAAAAAACAATTGTTCAAATTTCTATTAGTTTATTTTATTCATTTATTCAACAATTTCGAGACGCTTTAGTTTAATTAATATACATCTATTGTACAATACACTGACAATACATTTACAACATATTAACATACGTTTTACATACGTTGCGAGAGGTAAATGTCATGCAGAATATTTACGTTGAAAAACCGCAAAAATGACAATAAAAGCACGTCTCTCGGATATTCTCCGAAAACGTTGATCGAAATTCTCGGGCGTTTCCACCCCTCGGGCGGCAGATGCTCGACTACCGGAAGCTCGTAATTCTTGCGGCGAAGAGTTTCGTTGCAGAAAGAAAACTGCGCGGGACGGGCGGTCCTCCTTAATACCGCTCGTGCTTGCCCGACGGGAAGGCATTAAAAGACATTAAAGGTAAATCAGGGACAACGCCAGTGTCGTCGTCGTTCGTTCTCCGCGCCAGCTCTCGGGAAAAGCTCTGATGTCGCGTCGCGCTCGACGTCGAGGTCGAGTAAGATTAACTTCGCATTAACCCCCCGTGCGATATCACAAAAATCGAGTGCGACCCCGTTTCGTACGTCCGGCTGGGAAAAATCCCGTTCTCGCGTGTCGTCCGCGATAATGACGTTTTGCTTGTCGGTCTTTCCGCGCCGACGGATATGGTTAACACACTTCGATTATTGTTCGTTTTTGCCGCTCGCATACTCGGTTTGCGACACACATACGAAGAGGGAGGAGAAAATGTCGCCATAAATTATTAGAAACAGTCGACCGCGGAGGAAAAAGCAGTCGCCGTGACGCGGTGAAACGACGACGGGTAAACACATTGGTGGAACAATGAGAGGGTGGGATCATAATTAATGTTTCTCGGTCCGAGGGATTATCCGAAGAAAAAACGAGCATTCCGAGTATAAATTGATAGTTGATTGTGTTCGCGCGTTCCTGTCTTTTATCAATACATTTTTTTCATCGTAATTTCGTGCGTAACGTGCACGGGCCTGAAAAACAAAAAAAATATATCAAAGCATAATATACTTAATTTGATATTTGTATTCGAAGTATGGAAATGTTTTGACTATTCAGTAGATGTTTTAACAGTTTTGTTTTGTACGGAACGTGCACGAACCTAAAAAAAAAATGAGAGCCAGAGGCTGTCTTTTTCGCAATAAGTTTTTTTTTTAATTTCCACAGGAGGACCAGATGGGATATTTCATCTATACACGTGATGCAAAAACCAAGTTGAATTTTCTCATCCAAGTTTAATTCTTCAAATTGAAATTCAGTTTGAATTATTACGTATTGCAATAATTTACATGTTTAAATAAATAAAAACTATTTTGCACAAAGAAAACATCTGGCACGTGACCGAATATTTCTTCGAAAGGACACTACATAAATCTCATTTGTTCTAAATTAATGTTATTATTAAAACAAAATTAAAACAATAACAATTTGATATTTATACTCAAAGTTTTGGAATTGCTGGACCGTTCAAATATCGTAAGAGATACCACACGGAATGAAGCTTTTGTGGAAAGGGACGGATGGAGTTTGTCAGACGTCCGGGACAAACAAAGGGAAGTCTGCGTTGCGGCGAGAAGGAGAAACTGGAGAGTCCAAATACTTTTAAACTGATTCGCAGAAATATATACGTCAGCGCGGTCTGCTGTCCCGCGCAAAGTAATCGCGAAGTTCGTGTTCGCAAGAAGCTCTATCGGTCCGGGGTAGGGAAAACACAAATCGGGAATGACGGCCGATCTACTTTGCGTCCCGGAGAAAAGTTTCCGCAGACTAGAAGGAAATATCGATCTGACTGCTGACAAGTAAACTTCGGACGAAATCTGTCCTCTCTCTCTCTCTCTCACTCTCTCTTCCATTTTTCGTTTTATCTCTTCGCCGCGTCTCTCCGCTCCGCTGCTGCGTCACGATCGTCGCGATTAACGTTTCACTGCGGTAAACAGCTGCCGCATTCATGCGCTCTCTTTTTACTACTTTCACGAATTACTGTTCCTCCCGCGAGTTCTTAATGCGGCAGCGCTATTACGCGGTCTAAATTTTGTCACGAAACGACCGTGTTGCGCTTGATGACGTACGTTCCGCGATTGTTCGGAAACTTAAAACGTACATCGTTTGTTTCTTTTTTTTTCTTTTTTTTTTTTTGGTTTTTTGTACAAAAACTATCACGAAACGGAAAACTTTTGAAAAAAAAAATGTTAACATCGCACAAACACCAGCGACACGTATGTACGTTTGCGATAATCGGCATTGCTCGTTTAAAGTGATATTTCGCAGTTTTCAATGTAAAATGCGGCACGCACTCTCTTCATGTAATTTTTGCAAACTTTGTCCAAAGTGCAACTTTTCCTCGTATCCGCACAGTTTCAAAACTGCGGCTGCGAAAAGCGACGCGCCTTTCCTTTTTGATCGTCTCGTGTATGCACGACCGTGGCTTAATGCCCGCTAACTTCAGGAACAGTCAGAGTCTCGCTTTCGTATCAAAGCCGCGCTGCTGCTCGGGAAAAGCTGACAACCGAAACCGCAGAAAATCGCTAACATCAAGAGAGCGAGCGAGAGAGAGAGCGAGAAAATGGCGCGCGTCACACGTGAAAAGGAGACGGGCGGGAGGAAAGCGAGCGAGGAGGAAGGGAATGGAAGAGAGAGAGAGAGAGAGAGAGAGAGAGAGAGAGAGAGAGAGAGAGAGAAAAGCGGAGGGCAGAGCACGTCGGGCGAGCTCGATGGCATCCATTTCGAATAATGGACGCGACTTTGATACCTGTCCCTCTTTGAGATCTTCCGTGTTGCAAATACGACACATTTTTGGCGCTCGCGCGCGACAAAGGGGATCGTAATAAATCTCTCCTCCGGGCGCGCAAACCTTCGAAAGCGCGTCGTTTCACAACGACAGCCGTACGACTGCCAGATGAGCTCTGAATTGGAGAGGAAGCTTTCATCGTTGGAAAAGTAGTGGAGAGGATTTTAGGAAAATTGGGTTACGCGCGTTCGACGCGTTTTGTCCCCCCTCTTCCCCCCCCCCCGACGCTTACGTCGCGACGCGCGTCGATATTTGCACGTCGTTAAAACCTTAATACATGTTTTTTTTTTGTTTTATATCGCACTTGTCAAGATAAAATTCAATAGCTCTGGCAAAAAACGATCTCTTCTCTAGTTTTTTTTCAAGTCCAACGTGGCGACGCGTTCTTTTTTCGCAGAGGTTTTTACCACACACGCGCGATAACGCGCAACGACACAAAATACCACTTTCACACGTGCCGCGTCACCAGGGTTTATACCTTCACTTGTTGTCGCATTAATATTCCACGGTATATTCGTCGCGAACGATGTCTCGCTTGATACAAGCTCTCCGCGATGCACTTTCCGCGTACGGTTCGAATGGATATGGACGCGCCACTTCGCTCACATCACAGCGGAGTCGCATTACGTATGCATTGTGTAATATCATGGATCGCGGCTTCTCGACGTCCGCCCTGTCATCGTTGTCGTCGTCGTCGTCGTCGTCGCGCGAGTTCGACGTTTCGCTACAGACAGTGCACGTCCGCGTGATAAATGTTGGAAGAGACGCGCGAAAAGCCAACTCTCTCTCTTTCGCGCGCGCGCGACACTCGATACTCTCGTCTAAATACAAACAAATCGAAATGGGGGGATTTTTCCGACACAAATGTCTCGGAAAAAATCTCGCGCGATTTTTTTTCCCCGAGAAAACCGCCAATCGCCTCGCAATCTTCTTCTTATTCTCGTCGCGTTAAAAGCCTCGGGCCAATTTAATCCTCACCCTCCGAGATTAAATTTTCACCTCGCGCTTGCGTTCCTCGTAATGTTCAAACGGAACCGAGGGCGACGACGTTCGTCGGTTTAACGAGTCTGGCGCGTTTATTAATGTGTAACCGGGACGAGAGAAGCCTGTGTGTGACGACGACGTGATATTATTGGTATCGCGCGACGAAACTGTCGTGTGACACGATCGTATACCTCCCCTTTCCCTCCGTTTTAACCCCATCAGTGTTACGCCCCATCGGTGTACACGCGTTGCGAATAATAATGCGAACTTGGACGCACATTTGCGCGACCATTATCGCCGCGTGTG